TATGGGATCAAGGTAAGGGCTGGGATCAATATGGGATCAAGGTAAGGGTTGGTGGGATCAATATGGGATCAAGGTAAGGGTTGGGGTCAATATGGGATCAAGGTAAGGATTGCTGGGATCAATATGGGATCAAGGTAAGGATGGATGGGATCAATATGGGATCAAGGCAGGCATAGGTGGGATCAAGGCAGGCACTGATGGGATCACAGTGGGATCAAAGCAGGATCAAGGTGGGATCAAGGTGAGGATTGATGGGCTCAAGGTAAGAGTTGGTGGGATCAAGGTTGGATCCAGGCAGGGACTGGTGGGATTAAAGTGGGATCAGGGTGGGCTTTAAAGTAGGGGCTGGGAATCAGGGATTCAGATCAAGGGAAGGATTATTAGGATCAAGGTAGGATCAAGTGGGATCCAGGCAGGGATTGGTGGGATCAAGGCAGGGGCTGATGGAATCCAAGCAGAGGTTTCCAGGAGCTCCTGGGATGTTCCCTGTGCTCGTGGCTGTGGGGACACCGCAGTGACCCCGGGGTGTCCTGGAGCTCCCGGGACACTGGGCAGAGCAGGAGCTCCTGGAAAGCCAAGTGCCCGAGGTTTTGGGCTGGGATTTGGGATTTGGGCCCATCTGGGAAATCCTCTCTCCCTGTAAACTTCCTTCCCTCTGGCAGAGGGGGATTCCCAGGGCCTTTCCCACTCCTCAGGTTGCCCGGGAGGTGAGGGATCTGCTGGCCCAACCAGCTGGGAATGCCGTGGATTCCACCTTCCCCACTTCCCAGTTCAGGGAATAACCTTGGAAACCCAGAGTGGGTTTGTCGGGGGGGGGGCGACGGGATGAATCCCGGGAAATCCCAGCCCCAAATAAGGCGGATTTAGGAGTTTCTGTCAGAGCTTTGGAGCCTGGGGGGTGTTTTCCAGCTGGGCTCCACAGCCATCGGGATCCAGACGTCGGAGGGAGTGTGCCTGGCCGTGGAGAAGAGGATCACCTCCCCCCTCATGGAGCCCAGCAGCATCGAGAAGATCGTGGAGATCGACTCCCACATCGGTGAGAATCTGGGATACAGCCCTGGGAACAGCCTGGGAATGGGGATACAGCCCTGGGAACAGCCCTGGGAACAGCCTGGGAACAGGGATACAGCCCTGGGAACAGCCCTGGGAACA